TGAGTTAAACTTTCTTTCCTATACTTAATTCTCTTCTCATTTTTTTCCTTCCATTTATTAGTTGGTATTTCCTATCAACGTCTTGTCATACATTATGTTATTTTCGTAATAATATCTATAATGTTCTCTCAGTAACTGTGTTAACTTATTAAGGGCATTCACAGCTCAAGCTATGCTTATAATAATCTACTGTTCTAGTAATAGTCATTAGCAGGATTGTATTTCGCACTGCAGTACCATTTCATCTTTGTAGAAGACCTGCATATAAAAAAGAAAATGGTGTGTAGGTGTTAATGTACATGGAAACTGACCCGGGCTCTCATGCTTTCGTATCAGTGTAAAATTTAACACAGGCTTCGCATCTCCATTCGATTTCCAATGAAAAGTCACAATGTTAAATTCATTGAATGGCCTTTATAAGTTGATTCCCATTAATTATCGCAAATTACAAAAAGTGTGAATCAAGCTAACGTGTCGAACAAAAATGAGAAGGTAGAAACATTGTAAGTCTCCCCCGGGTCCTCTTGCAATAAACACTCTATGCTGTCACAAAGTTTGTTTGCCTCTTTGGCTTATAGCACAAGATGGCGCTGTTCCATAATATCAGCACATATATTACAACAACAAAAAATATTCCGGACCCTTTGATAACTATAATAATATTAATAATAATCATCATCATAATAGTAATACTAATAATATGTATTTGTATAGCGCTTCATACAAAATACCGTTTTAGGCGATGTACAATTATTATTACCCTGGTCATCGGATTCATTTGCCATTCACCATCTCCACTCCCTGGTGAATATTCATACACTATGCATGGTCACTGTGAGGGCATGTGGCAATCAGAAAAGAAAAAAGATTTTGTCCTCCTACCGGTTTCCAATGTCTCTCCTGGGTTTGGAGTGACATATGTAGATTAATGCCTTGCCAAAAGACAGTGCCGTGTCAGGAATCGAACCATTGGCCTTTGCATTTCAAGTCAAGTGCATAAACTAGTCGACTGCGACTGCTCTATTAAAACTACAATGTAACAAGGATGATGGGGGTTGGGGTATGAATTTGTGATCAGTGAAATATCCTGTATTCATATATCGGAGGTGCAGAACAAAATGTGTGTGTGCGTACCAGAATAGCATTTGAACAAATAAATAATCACATGTTGTTGATATTGAATTTAGCAGAAATAACATTTTCCTTATAATAATGAGTCATTAGCAGGATTGTTTTTCGCACTGCAGTACCATTTCATCTTTGTAGAAGACCTGCATATAACAATAAAAAATGGTGTGTAGGTGTTAATCTACATTAAACTGACCCGGGCTCTCATGCTTTCGTATCAGTGTAAAATTGAACTCAGGCTTCGCATCTCCATTCGATTACCAATGAAAAGTCACAATGTTAAATTCATTGAATGGCCTTTATAAGTTGATTCCCATTAATTATCGCAAATTACAAAAAGTGTGAATCAAGCTAAAGTGTCGAACAAAAATGAGAAGGTAGAAACATTGTAAGTCTCCCCGGGTCCTCTTGCAATACACACTCTATGCTGTCACAAAGTTTGTTTGCCTCTTTGGCTTATAGCACAAGATGGCGCTGTTCCATAATATCAGCACATATAGTTATAATGAAAAATGCACCATATCATTATTGTAAATATAACAAATTTTGTTATCATGGATTATGAAGCAGCACCTTCACCTTATACTTTTTGTTTATATAAGAACATCTTTGTTCAGATTGCCTAATTTATATTGAACTAATAATTGTAAAGAAGATATGTTATTAAAATTGTTCCTCTTCATGATGTTGTATCCAAAAATATTAATATGAAGTATTACCGTCACCTTTTCCTTTTTTAAAGTAATTGTAGCACATTTTGTACACTTGATTGAATGTGTACTATATTAGTTTGGATACTTATGGAGAGGACACTTTTTTTTTTTTTTTTTGTCTCGAATTTGAAAATTTTACATTTTGTTCCGTTGGGGGGGGGGGGGGGTAAGGTCACCTTTTTTAGGTTAGCCATTGGTATTTTTTTAAATTTTTTTTTTTTTTTTTTTTAATTTAAAACAAAAGAAAAAGAAAAATCTCAAGGGGGGGGGGGGGGGGGGGGCGGGGGTTTGCAAAAAAACATACACAAAACATACACATTAACAAAACTCAAGGGGGGGGTTTAACACCCAAACCCCCCCCCCCCCTGCCTACGCGCCTGTTACAAGGATCGTTTTCAGATTATTCGAGCACTTACTTTAATAAAAATCAGTTAAAAAGTAATTACGTGCAAGTTTTTGCGCGTCATCTAAGATTAAAGGGCCCATGCCATCGAAATACAAGTGTATTCCTGTGCAGTCATGCATACATCTCATATTTTGATATGTACACTTCTGAATTCGTTTCAAAGATTGTTAAATATTTTTTGAAATATTTGTATTTCAAACTTGCTAAGCTCAACCCCCAAAACCTCCAGATCTCATTCCCCTTGTGACATCATCTGTCAGTCATCAATGAGCTAACTTGAGACAGTGGTATGTATCTTTGCCGAAGTCGACCACCTGTTACAATACGTAATACAATAGCAACATACAAGTTGCTATGTCAGACATGCTGTAGCATCACCCGGAAGACAAAGTCAATGATGATGACATATATGTATGGAAGCATGCAATTCTATTATGAACGTGTGCTAAGCTGGGGGGAAATACATACCATTGTCCATTCTAGAATATTAGTTTAGTCTGACATGTCTGACATAGCAACTTATATGTTGCTATTGTTTATGGTATTGTAACAGGTGGTCAAATTTGGCAAAGTTACATGCCACTTTCTCAAGCGAACTCATTGATGACTGACAGATGATGTCACAAGGGGAATGAGATCTGGAGGTTTCTGGGGTGGAGCTTAACAAGTTTCAAAAAATATTTCAAAATCTATGAAACAAATTCAGAAGTTTACATATCAAAATATGAGATGTATGCAGGACTGCACACTAACAAGAATACACTTGTATTCCGATGTCATGGGCCCTTTAAGTTCTTGTGGGAAATCTGGAAATCGATTCTGTAATGTTATGAGCTGAAGTTATACAGCATTCCTAATTTGAACATGTCAAAAATAGTGGGTTTGTTATGTAGACTTCTTGGTTAGTACTTTACTAAATGTAGCTGGATCCAGAAAGTAATAAAACTCCACATATCTTTGCTTGAGGTTCAGGAGTTTATTGGTGTAACTAAAACATCATGCTTATGCTGTGCATGCTAGTGGTCAAGTGCAACTTACCACTCTCACATGTACAGTACATAAGGCAGTGTATCAGGGTTGAATGTGTGCATGGCTAATTACTCATTACATACATCACACACTCTGTATGCCAAGAGTACTGTGTTAGAGAGTGCTTTCTGCATGGTTGCTTCTGAAAGAATGTGCATGCAGCTGTTAAACAATGAGCACATACATTGTAAGTTACTGGGTATGTTCAAATTAGGAATGCTGTATAACTTCAGCTCATAACATTACATCTCCCTTTCTTCAAAATAAACAATACAAGTTTTTACTTGAAACAGTTAAAAACGTTTCATCCTCTCATCCCGTCCATCTTTGCTTCTTGTTTTACTTACAAGTACATATTAGCTATTGACAAATGTCTTGAAAATAATTTCTGTTCAATCTATCCCCTACTCTCCATTTAAACAAATTAAAAAACTAGAATCCTCAACAGAGTGAGGATGATACCTATAAACTGGTTTTACATATCCAGTATACAAGTTGTAAAACAAAAATGATGGCTTTTCACTTGGAAGGGTTACCTTAATCATCATCATAAATACAGTCATTAATCCTAACTGCTTTTCTCATTATTTTTTAAACTATCATTTTCTCTCGACTGGTTGTCACAATGTATACCAAACTGTATAAATCAAAAAACATAAAATTCACTTGCTTTACACAACACATTGTTTTCCTTTGGCATTCATGAATATTAAAACAAATAAAGTTACTTCTGTCTATTGTACAGTTCACAATTAATCCATGTGAACTTTGGTATTTTTGTATGTTTGTAATACCACTTTCAAATGATGTAAATGTGAACATATTTGCACAATTAAGATTTACCTTAACATTTGATGCATTTATCTCTTTTCCTGTGTGAGTTTACACAAAAATAGACAACAGTTTTCAATATTTTTAGTTGTATGAAAACAATGGAACAATATATTGTACAAAAATAAATAGCACAAAAAATAACAACATATATAGATATATACTTTCTTCGCGACTAAGAAGGGAGAGGTTCCAGAACTTCACCTTCGATCACAGGTCTTTACCACCCGTGTCCCTACATTGATGTGATCCAACGTTCAACTTGGCCTATATCTGAATGTCAACTGAGTCATTATTGTCTTAAAAGTTCGAGTTCAGTCTGAATTTGCGCTTCTTTATCAGTTACATCTCAAAATCATCATACTTTTTAGGGCGTTGAGTGTTTCGCGATGAACGTTGTCTTCGAGGTGGAGTCTCCTCCCGTCCTGGGCTTCGAGTTGGAGCCTCCTCCCGTCCTGGGCTACTTCGAGGCTCGGGGTACGCACGATGTGGAGTGCTCAACTGCTCATTGTGGTCAGCGGATGACGCACCTTCATCACCTGGGCCGTCGCTATCACCACCCCCGGGAACCTCAGTTGTAGACTGGTCGGTATGGTCAGGTCTTATGTGCTGCCTGTTTCTTCGTAGGTAACGTCCCTCAGGGCTCTGGAGAATGTAGGAACGCTGTCCCTGAGCCCTGGTATCAACTGTCGCAGGACACCACCGTCTTGTCACTGGGTCGCGATATCGTACATCTTGCCCAAGGTAAAGCTCTGGCAAGTCAGCTCTTCTGGCATGTTTGTCAAAATAGAATTTTTGACTATTCTGTCTTTCCTGCAGCTGATTGTAGATGTCATCAGCATCTGGCTGTGTTCTCTGCAACTTGGCTGGGAGTGTAGTTCTCAACTGGCGATTCATGAGAACTTCAGCTGGACTGGTAGTTTCTCTGATATGGGAGTTGTACGCCAAAGAAGTAGTGCTAGCTGAATGTCTGAAGTCTTCTTCATGATACCCTTGATGGTTCTGATTTGTCTCTCTACAAATCCGTTGCCTTGTGGTCGTCTGGGGGACGATGTGGCATGTTCAAAACCCCATGATTCTGCAAACGACTTGAACTGGTAACTGGCATACTGGGGTCCATTGTCGCTCACCACCTTTGCTGGTATGCCATGCTCTGCAAACACTTGTTGCATCATAGTGATTACAGCACTGCTTGTTGCTTGGTCTGGTAACTGGCGAACCACTGGGTACTTGCTGTAGTAGTCCACCACAATTAACCATTGTTTGCCTTTGAATTCAAACATGTCGGTTACCACCGTGCTCCAGGGCATTGTGGGAATGTCGTGTGGCAGGAGTGGTTCTGGCGTTTGTGCTGGTTGAAGTTCCTGGCATCTCACACATGATTGCACCACTCTGTCAATGTCTTTGTTCATGTTACTTCAGAACACCTTTCCTCTGGCCAGCAACTTTGTTTTTTGTTGGCCTAGGTGACTGGTATGGAGCTTTTCCAAGATGTCTGGTTGCATCTGCTTGGGAATGACAACTCTGCTTCCCTTGAGAATTATACCGTCGCTTACTGTTAACTCATCTCGGTAACTCCAGAACTCTCTCAACTCTGGTTGCACTTGCTTCACCGTATCAGGCCAGCCCGTCACAATAACTTCCATCAGTGCACTTAGGACTTTGTCTAGTCTTGTAGTGTGTTTCAGTTCATCTACTTTCCTTGACGAGAACTGCACCAGATCTACTCTCAGATCAAGTTCAACTGTTTCATTGTTGTGCGTGCTTGGTAATCGTGAGAGACTGTCTGCGAGCAGGTTGTCTAGTCCTGGACGGTGTGTGATCTGGAAGTTGTATCCCTGTAGTCGGATCAACATCCTTTGTAGCCTTGGAGGGGCTGCTGTGAGAGGTTTGTCCATAATCATCAGAAGTGGCTTATGGTCTGTGATTACATGGAATAGCCTGCCATAGAGATATGTGTGAAAGCGTTCTACTCCGAACACAATAGCAAGCAGCTCTCTTTCAATACATGAATAGCGTGTTTCAGTTGAAGATAGGGCTTTGCTTGCGTAAGCTACTGGGCGGAGTCTACCTTCCTGGTCATGCTGTAGGAGTGCAACTCCTAACCCTTGAAGACTTGCATCGCACTGCAAATACACTTTGGATGTTGTGTCGAAGAACTGGAGTAGTGACTTCTCTGAAACTTCTTGCTTGAGTTTCTCCATGGCTGCTTGATGATGTGGTTCCCAGATGAAATCAGCCTCTTTCTTAAAGAGATCTCTCAGAACTGCAGTCTTTGTGCTGAAATCTGGGATGAAGTGAGACAGGTAAGTAATGAAACCTAGGAAATGCTGCAACTCAGCCTTGTTGCTCGGAGTCGGCATTCCTGCGAGGTCAGCTACCTTCTGGGGATCTGGCTGGATACCATCCTTGGAGTATCGATTACCAAAGAAGTTGATAATCGTTTGCCTGATATGGCACTTGTTTGAGTTCAGTGTGAGGCCTCTCTTTGCTGCTACTTGCATGAAGTTGAGAAGGTTGCGATCATGCTCTTCTACTGTACACCCAAAGATTACAATATCATCTGCTATGCATTCTGCCCTTTACAGCCTTCTAGAACTCTGTCCATCTCCAACTGGAAAATGTCCTGACTTACACTGAGTCCAAATGGTAGGCGACAGAAGACATATCTTCCAAAAGGTGTCTGGAATGTGGTAAGTCTTTGGCTGGCCTCATCTAACTTGACTGACCAGTAGCCGCACTTTGCATCTAACTTGTAGAAGTGCTGCATGTTGTGAAACTTGTGATTCAACTCCTCCAAGGTCTGCTGTTTGTAGTGAGGTCTGATAAGTGCCTTGTTCAATCTGCTAGGGTCTAAGCAAATTCGAATGCTTCCATCCTTCTTGGTGACATATGTGATTGAGTTCACCCATTCGGTTGGTTCGATGATTTGCTTGATCACACCCTGGCTTTCCATACTGTCCAGTTCTGCCTTGACTTTGTCTTTCAAGGCAATAGGCATCTTTCTAGGAGCGTCGACATGACTTGGAACGTTGGGGTCAACTGTCAAGTGATGTGTGGTACGAAATTCTCCAATCCTATCGAACTGCTGTGGAAAGAGCTGTACTAGAGCCTGTACACCACTGACTTGTGTTTCAATGTTCAAAGAGCAATGGAGAGTAACAAGTCCAAACTCTACAGATGACTGGAGACCAAGTATTACTGGGCCGTTGGACTGAACCACGTAGAATAAGGTATCAGTCCATGCTGTGTCTCCATACTTGCAGGGAATAACAACTGTTCCATACTGACCAATCAGCGTTTCATTGTAAGCTGAAAGGACTCGATTCCAGTCGTTTAGATGTTTCATAAAGGAGCAACAGACAGATCCTCAGTTGAATTCTTTGAATGAGAGAGCTGTTTCTGAGGAGGAGGCATTGACTGTGCCTGTTTGTTATTACAAGAAAGCAGGTGTGCTAATGAGAAAGTGGAGGCCAGCAGATGTCCCTGCAGATGAGGTGTGGAAAGAAGTCCACCAAATTGTAGTCCCTTCTACATACAGGCAGGACATAATTAGCCTTGCTCATGAAGCTCCACTTGCAGGTCACTTAGGGGTTCACAAAACCCAGGAGAAAATTCTTTCTCATTTCTTTTGGCCAGGTGTGCAAAAAGATGTTGCAAATTTTTGCAGAAGTTGCCATGCATGTCAAGTTGTAGGTAAACCGAATCAGAAAATACCGGCAGCACCATTGAAGCCAATACCGGCGTTCGATGAGCCATTTTCTAGGATCATAGTAGATTGTGTAGGTCCTCTGCCAAAGACTAAGGCAGGTAATGAATACTTATTGACGATAATGTGCGCTGCGACGAGATATACCGAAGCAATACCACTGCGGCGCATTACAGCGAATAATGTGACAAAGGCGTTAGTGAAATTTTTCACTACTGTAGGGCTACCAAAAACTGTACAATCTGATCAAGGGTCAAATTTCATGTCTAGGGTGTTCAATCAGGTGTTGAAGGAACTGGGCGTAAAACATGTAGTTTCGAGTGCATACCACCCAGAGTCCCAGGGAGCACTGGAGAGATTCCACCAGACTTTGAAGAATATGTTGAAAACTTATTGTATGGAGTCAGAGAAACAATGGGATGAGGGAGTTCCCTTGTTATTGTTTGCTGTGCGGGATGCTGTACAAGAGTCGCTTGGTTTCAGTTCTTTTGAGTTGGTATACGGTCACTCAGTACGTGGACCATTGAAGTTGCTGAAAGAGAGACTGTTGTGTGATGATGCACAAACAAATGTGTTGGAGTATGTGAGTACTTTCCGTGAGAGAATGCATAAGGCGTGGGAGGTTGCCAGACAGAATTTGTCAGATTCTCAGGAGAAGATGAAGTCATGGTATGACAGGAAATCAAAAGAGAGGAATTTCGTGGTAGGAGATGAAGTCTTGGTCTTACTGCCGATAGTTGGTCATTCTCTGCAGGCTAGATTTTCTGGGCCGTACACTATTGCTAAGAGAGTTGGTGATGTCGACTACGTTGTCAATACTCCAGATAGGCAGAAGAAGAGACGTGTGTGTCATGTGAATATGCTTAAGCCATATATCCGAAGAAATGACGAGAGTAAAGCACAACCAGTGTTGAGTGCTGTTGAATGTGACTCAAAGTGTGAAGTTGAGAAAGAAGTGTGCAAGATTGAGAGAGAGAACCCATGTGTGAAATTGAAAAATTCAGAGGTTCTAGCACACATCGATAACAAACTAACACACTTATCTGTGAAGGAGAGGAGCGACGTGAAAGAGCTGTTGAGTGAATATCCACAGTTATTTGCTGATGTTCCCTCTCGAACTGATGTTGTTGAGCATGATGTTGATGTGGGAGATACAACCCAATCAAACAGGCACCATATCGTGCAAACCCGACAAAACTGAAAAATCTTGAAAAGGAAATCGAATACATGCTACAGAACGGCATTGTCGAGCCAAGTAGTAGTGCATGGTCTTCTCCTTGCATCCTCGTTCCGAAACCGGATAAATCTAATCGTTTCTGTACGGATTACAGAAAAGTAAACGCTTGCACGAAGACAGATTCTTTTCCGATTCCGCGAATAGATGATTGCATAGACCGTATAGGCAAAGCAAAGTATGTGAGCAAATTTGATCTCTTAAAGGGATACTGGCAAATCCCTTTGACAAAAAGAGCACAAGAGATCTCTGCGTTTTCTACTCCGCAAGGCCTTTTCCAATACACAGTGATGCCTTTTGGCATGAAAAATGCGCCTGCGACATTCCAAAGACTTGTGAATAATCTTGTAGCGAATATGGCAGGTTGCGAAGCATACATAGATGACATAATCGTGTATAGTGAGGAGTGGAATGAGCACGTACAGAGAATCAGAGAGTTGTTTGAAAGGTTGTCCATTGCTAAAATGACAGTCAACTTGGCAAAGAGCGAGTTTGCAGGGGGAACTGTCCTTTTCCTTGGGCATGTTGTTGGTTCGGGTCAAGTACGGCCAATCTCGGCGAAGGTCGATTCCATCCTGGCTTTCCCGATTCCAACCAACCGGAAGGAATTGATGCGATTCCTGGGCATGGCGGGCTATTATAGAAGATTCTGCCATAACTTCTCCGATGTTGTAACTCCCCTAACCAATCTGCTGCGCAAGCAGGTGGCGTTTGTCTGGTCTGACGACTGCGAGAGTGCTTTCAACCAGGCGAAAGCCCTCTTATCTACCAATCCGGTACTGATGGCTCCGGATTTCAACCAGCCGTTCAGCATGATGGTGGACGCGAGTGATGTGGGTGCTGGTGCAGTTCTTACTCAAGCAGACGCTGAAGGTATCGACAGACCCATATCATTCTTCTCAAAGAAATTCAGTGCAAGTCAGAAGAACTATTCTACTGTCGAAAAAGAAACATTGGCTTTGATACTTGCACTCGAACATTTTGACGTGTATGTCAGTGGATCTCAACATCCAGTCAGGGTACTAACTGATCATAACCCCCTGACATTCCTCAACAGAATGAAAAATAAGAACCAAAGACTGACGCGATGGAGTTTGCTGCTCCAAGAATACAACTTGGACATTCTACATGTGCCAGGAAAGGACAATGTTATTGCGGACGCTTTATCTCGTGTGTGATAATGGACAAAAGTGAGCAACCCTTGTTTGAACCATATTTCGTGAACAGTTGAACACTTACAGTGAAGCATCATACTTGAACAGTTGAACTTTGGTGAATTCATTGGAATACTATGTGAGAAAGGGAACCAGAACTTTTAACTTTGATGGTTTCTTTAATAATCACAAAGCATTGTGAACATAGACTGATTGGACTCATTGAAACTGTTTATTGGACTCACAGAAAAATGTATTTTTCTTATGTTTGCTTTCCAGATGTCTGTAAACCAGTGTATATATGTTTATTGTATT